TAAGTGCCCCACCGGAGAAAAAAAGTCTGGAAGAAACACTGCTCACTTCACTGATGTGAATTAAACATTGCTATGCGAATCTTCTGTGAAATAATTGCCACTAAATAATAATCATTTGTAGACGATTTTATTTAAATGTGTTTTTAAATTTCAAGCACGCACAATATCGCCACGGTAGTATTTTGAAGAGCATTAAAAATGTTACAGAGGAAAGACATGGTTGATATGTGATTTAAAACATTAAATGGTGTTACTTACGTACATGTGTAGTGATAGTGTGTAAGAAGACGTCAACTATATAGATATCAGTGATATAGACATAGCGACACTATATATAGATGTATCGACATTGTGGTTACAATATGTAGAAATATCGACATTGTCGTTGATTTGTCAGCTTTTTGTGACATTATCATTAATATTTGTAGATACAGCCACATTGTTCCAATCAAAACATAGATACTCGGACATTATCGGTACTATGCATAGCTATAACGATATCGCCGTTACCATACTTAAGTAAGGCGACATTGTCGTTGCTATCATGTGACTTGTGGATGTAATCAGCCCACCCCAAACAATGACGGTGATTTATTACAACCGCTCTTCACCTTTTTAACATGACGGTTCATGGGGCAAGTGAAGTAGAGTTCAACTGTTTCTGTGATCTCGGCATATGAAGGGCACATCCCCTTAAAATTAAATAATCATTGTTAATAAGTAAGTTACCTTTCAAACCTGACGGTCTCCGGGGAAAGTGAAGTAGAGTTCACTTGTTGTTTTTTTTTTTACCTCGGCATATGAAGGGATAGTGCGATCAGCCCTAAGCCCAGCCGCCGTTGCTTTCCCTATCGTGAGTTAGGCACGCTCAACTTACTTGAACCCGGATTTGAACTCGAGACTTTCGGGTATGCAGTCCAGCGCTCTACCACTAGCCCGCACCGCCCATTAAAATTAAATAATCATTTGTTACTAGGTAAAGTTAAGTTCCCTTTCAAACCTGACGGTCTACGGGGCAAGTGAAGAGAAGATCTCTTGTTTCAAGAATCATTGTTAATAAATACCCCAAACCTATATCTTTTTATTAAACCGAGAAGGTTTTCTAATACTGGTATGCAGAGGCGTAGCGAATTATGTACCACTGATTTGAACCCGGATTCGAGCGCGAGACTCTCGGGTTAGCAGTCTAGCTCTCTACCGCTAGGCCACGCCGTCCCTTCAAAGTTGTGATTTAAAACCAGATGGTTGCAATTGGCTTATCCAGTAGCCTATCAACCATTTCACAAAAGTTAACACGGTTCACTAGGTCCCAGGGCCCCCCCCCTTCCCCCCTCCCCCCCTTAAGTAAGGTTCCCCGGGTCCGCTAACGACAGTGAGATATATTAAATCAGGATACGGTGTTTTGGTATTTTAATATTAGAAGCTTCAAGAACGTTTTCCCCGCCCCTAATGAAGGAGCTTCTACTGTACACACCATTTTACATGAAACGACGACGTCCTTAAATTTCGTCATTGCTACTGTGTTATAAGCTGCCATAGCTTAGCCTGTGAAACTAAAAACACCCAAAAGGAACAATTTGACTGCGAGCGTAAAATGAACCGGCTTAGACCGGTTTTGTGCGAGTTAGCAGTTGACACGTTGACTAGCTTGCCTGTTTTATTTCCTGTGTTTGAATTTTTTTTTTACCATAGAACACAGCCACTAGCACAGAGACAGTAGCGTAGCGAGGGGGGGGGGGGGGGGGAGGGCGGGGGGGGGGGGGGGGAGGGCGGGGGGGGGACATATGTCCCCGGGCACCGAGCTTAGGGGGGCGCCAAAATGGGTTGGAAAAATAAATTGAAAGGTTGAGGGGGGTGCAAATTGAAAAGTTGGAGGGGGGGGTGCAAATCGTAATCTCGAGGGGGGGGTGCAAATCGAAAAGTTTGTCCCCGGGCGCCGGGACGGGTCGCTACGCCTCTGCACAGAGATACTTGCCTATCCTATTGTATTTGAATACGGATTTTAAAACTGGTGCTACAGAGATATGGTTACATAGTATTAGACTTACAGTAGTTCTTTTGTTTCAAGAAAAAAAAATTAGATCCGTTGACGCAGGGCCGGCGCTACCTATAATCAGTGTTTCTTCCAGACTTTTTTCTCCGTGGGGGCACTTGAGATTTTCGGGGGGGGGGGGGGGGGCGGTACCACCTTCTTCGGGGGGGGGGGGGCGGACACTGTTAAAAAGTATATATTGTATATAAATTATATAAATTTCATAATGCCCCCCCCCCCCCGAAGAGATGCTTGGAAGAAACTCTGCCTATAATGCGTACTATTATGCAAAAATTTTAGCCCGCACCCAATCCCCCCCCCTACCCCAGAGAAAAAAGACTGGAAGAAACACTGGTGGACTGAGCAACAATTTTAATAGCATGCGATAACGCTTCGGCACAGGAATTGAAGGAATTTGTAGAAACTTATGCGCGGAATAGGGCACGAAACAATTAATCTTGATTTTGTAATGTTCTTATGACGATTATGCAATTAATATTTGTTGATTTCTTATACATACATACACACACACATATATATATATATATATATATATATATATATATATATATATATATATATATATATATATATATATATATATATATATATATATATATTCAATTCACTTGTGTGAAAGGGGGCGTGTTAATGAGTTTTGCCTAGGGTGCTAATACCTTGGCGCCAGGAACTGCGTTGACGTTACTTAGTGTGTCTCATTTGCTTTTAATTTAAACAATTAGGGTTTTGATAGATTGGTTTGCGCCTTACATACGTCTAAAAATATTTTATAACTTTCATGTTCAACCGAATAATGCATAGACAGATCTAAATCCATCAATTAAAAATGCAATGGATTTTTTTTTGTTCTTTTTTTATGTGTATTTTAAATTATTATTCGTCGGTGTTGGGAAGGAAGGGAAATTGGGCTTTATTTAAGTATGTTTTTATGTTTGAACTGTTCCTTTTAGGGAATCCTGGAGAAGGACATATTCTTTGTAAGATCTGCGGCGACAAAGCGTCAGGATTTCACTATGGCGTTTTCTCGTGTGAAGGCTGCAAGGTACACAACTCGTTAAATTACATTTTTTTTTTATGGTCTTACTTATTAATCGCAATTTTGTTGTCCTTTAATATAATAAAAAAAAAATATCAAATGTTCAAATTAACATTATTTATTTTGTAAACAATATATAATTAAAACTGATTATTATAATGGGGTTCAAAAAAAATTTTCCAGGGATTTTTCCGTCGAACAATTCGACACCAACTCACCTACAAACCATGTGACACACCTGGTGCATGCCTTATCATGCGCATCAGTCGAAACAGGTGCCAGTTCTGTAGACTCCAGAAGTGCATTACATCTGGGATGTCCCATGAAGGTAGAAAACAAAAATTAAACAACAGTATTTTGATTTTAAAATAATAGTGATTTTTTATAATTCATACATTTAACTCAAGGACTATATCATAATTGAATGCATGGTTTTCTTTAACAAATGAATATCTCTTCGATCGCATGAAATCATTAATGCCAGCTGTTATTAATTGATTGAAAAATTAAGTAAAGAGCTCAACATAAAGCAAAAATAAATAGTTCATTATTAAGAACTAATATAATAGACCTACATATTTAGGTGGGAAAGTCGAAATTATATGGTAGAGCATACGACTACTGGCCCGCGGGTCTCGGGTGTGGGGAAGTTGCGAGACGTGAAAAGCGAAATGGCGAGGCGGGAAAATGCGAGAAGGGCGCGAAAACGGTCGATCACGTGACTTTTTGTCTCGCATTTTACCACAACCCGATACTTACGCTGGGTGGTTTTGAATTGCGAAGATTTCTGCGAAAAATTTACCGCACCCGATTTTCAGTGGTATTTGGTCCCGACTTCAAAGACGTTTCGTTGACATTGTTAAAACTTCCGATTTTTCCGTCGCTAGACATACTGATGATTTGTCAACTCCCCCCATCTTTTGTGTCGACTTAGAATACCACCTTATTCGAAACGGACGGAAATACCGCCGACGATAGATCAACTTCTGTCTTTTGTGTGGGGCGCCGAGGCCGCCCTGATTTACCGTCTTTGAAGATCACCGTGCCCGGATCCGCTGCCGCCGGAAACATATTTTCTATTGTTGCATAGACATTTTGTATAAGCATGAGCGAGCTAGATTTTAAAAGACGGGATTTTCCTCTCGCTAACGAGAGCGGGCGATTACAGTAGCACAGCAACGATGTTAGGATTTTTAAATAGCTAGATCTAGATATAGATCTATCTATCTTCTTAGTATCTATCTATATAATAAAATCTAGATTTAAAAAATAACAACATACAACACTCGTGTTAAAGGGTAAATGCTTGTTTATTTTAAAACAAAAAAAAAAATAATTTAAATAAATAAAGATGAAAAAAGCATGAAAAAAACTTTTTTTTCGCAAAAAGTGTCTCGCTATTTACCCTTAATTCCGCAGGTATGTCTCGCATTATCTTCTCGCATTTTCCCGCCTCGCCATTTCGCTTTTCGCGTCTCGCAATCTCCCAACACCCGCGGGTCTCAAATCGAATCCGTGTTCAAGTCTGTAAACGTTCCTGGGTCCACCCAGCTCCTGATGAGTATCTGACCCATGGCAAGGAAGTAAAGACGGTAGGGCATAGTGCAGACTACACTTTCCCTTTCCAAGGTCACAGAAGCAGGTGAACTCTACTTCACATGCCCCCTAGACCAGAGGCGTGGCGGGGGGGGGGGGGGGGACATATGTCCCCGGGCGCCGACCTTAGGGGGGGGGGGCGCCAAATTGAAAGTTTGAGGGGGGTGCAAATGAAAAGTTCGAGGGGGGGGGGGGGTGCAAATCGAAAGTTTGAGGGGGGGGGGGGGGTTGCAAATCAAAAATTTGCTCCCGAGGGGGGCGCCAAATTGAAAGTATGTCCCCGGGCGCCGGGAAGGGTCGCTACGCCTCTGCCCTAGACTGTCAGGCTTAAAAAGAGAACTTAACTTTTACATGTTTTGAAAATATAAGTAGGCTATGGTTTCTATTGGTTTGGTACTTTTACCATCTTAAATAAGGCATTTTTTTAAATTATGTTTTCTTGAACTTATCCTTTGCCTATACAGCTTATGCAGCCAATATGAAAATATTAAAACATATGTTTAAGATTTATACGCAAGTTTGGAGTGAATTTTTTTTTTTCTTCTGAAAACCCTGTTTACCTGTAAGATTAGTTTATTTGCCACTACACTAGTTATTAATAAAATAGTATGAAAACACATACCACATTTAAATGGAGTAGTGTCATAATTTTCTGTGTACTGTTTTCATGAATTTACCCATTGACTAAATGGAGTAGTGTTATATAATTTCTTAATTTATCCGTTGATTAACGCTTGCAAGCACTCATTTTGAAAATTGATAAACACAATATGAAACCCCATGGCATACAGTTTATACATAGGTGTTTAATTTAACTCTGTATATGTTCAGCTGTTAGAGACGTGAAAAGCGAAAAGGCGAGGCGGGAAAATGCGAGAAGGGCGCGAAAACGGTCGGTCACGTGACTTTTTGTCTCGCATTTTACCACAACCCGATACTTACGCTGGGTGGTGTTGAATTGCGAAGATTTCTGCGGAAAATTTACCGCACCCGATTTTCAGTGGTATTTGGTCCAGACTTCAAAGACGTTCCGTTTACATTGTTAAAACTTCCTATTTTTCGGTCGCTAGACATACTGATGATTTGTCAACTCCCCCCCCCCCCCATCTGAATTTATCCGTTGAGTAACACTTGCAAGCACTCATTTTGAAAATTGATAAACACAATATGAAACCCCATGGCATACAGTTTATACATAGGTGTTTAATTTAACTCTGTATATGTTCAGCTGTTAGGTTGGGCAGGTGTCCAAAGAAGGCTCGACCGTCCAGCAGCAGTTTCTTCATGCTCCCACAGACACAGCACGGCCACGTCGACTTGGACAAACAGGTAGAAGATGTGCACCTCTTAATGGGGGTGGGGACACGCCTAACTCTTCTCCTCCCTCCCCCCCCCCTTTTTTTGAGCGCATTTTTATTAACTCGTCATTTCTGGATGTATGAATGGATGGATGAATGTGTGTCCGCAGCTTTAAGTCGTATCTCCTCCTCAACGAAGCAATATCGAGGACTAGTTCCAAAGCAAATATGTTAAGCAAGTTCCAAGGATGATTGTGGGCCAAAAAAGTCCCGGAATTCCTTCCTGGATTTCCCGGAAAAGCCAAAAAACCTCGAACAAATGCAGTTTTTGGTCCATATCTCGGCAACCAGACCACTTAGCGACTTGAAACATTTACCAATCGATTCCTGTCATAATTTAGAACAATATTGCCGAAGAAAGTTTTCAACAATATCTTTTCTTTCGGTCACAAAAAATTAATTAAGAATTTTTAAACTGAGCATCGTGTAGGTCTAGGATGGTTTTTTTAATTTAAACTGAGCATCGTGTAGATTTTTAGCGCAAAAAAATATCCTTTCATTCGGTCACAAAAAATAAAAAATTGTTATGGATAACATAAGGAAATTGCGCTTAAATTGTCACTAGACTTTTTATTAACTTGTTTTTTATAAAAAAAGAGTTTGTATACTTCAACTATAATCCCGCACCCTCCAACCCCAAACTTGCTTCACCTCCTTCTACCCCCCCCCCCTGGGGATAAACAATTCTGAAAGAAACACTGAAAGGGAGGAAAGGGTTGGGAGGAATAAAGTACATGTGTGGGAGTACAAAAAGAGTGGGCAGTATTGGAGTGGGAGGGATGGGAAAGGAAGGAAAACAGAGGGATACAGCGGCAAAACTGTTTAAAATTATATGTGTTGAAGGTGTTGATGGAGAGGTATGAATCCTTGCTACGAATTTTTGGAAACTTCATATTTTTGTTTTATTTTGCAATTACTTTAAACTAAAAAAAAAAATCTTAAAGAATGAGAACCTGTTGATATTAATTTACAAAAACCTCATACATAATTTAATGCTCTAATTTAAAGTTATAGTAACTTTGTTAATTAATTGTCAAGATTAGAGGTTGTTACCATGCAATCTGTTTATTTTACATATATTGTCCTTGTAATATAATTTCACTATAATCTATATAGGCCCAATGATGCATAATTTTAGCCGTTATCATACATCCCTTTTTCGAATTTTAATGTTTTTCAGCTAAAGATAGAGCAAATGGTGCTCTATATCCACGAAGCCTACAGATCAGCAGTAAAAAACTATAATGCTTGCCCTGTCAGTGGAGCTGGTAATGAGCAGGTTGGTGTGTTTACTTATTGCAGACGCCCCTGTTTATAGATTTTCTATATGTTGGCTTGTGGAATTGATTTTGATTTTCAGTATAGATCTAAGTTTGGTAAAATCACGATATAGCGTCGGAAATTATTGGGTAATGTTCGTTGAGTTTCGGTAACATTCGTTACTGTAAACCATAGTTTATTTGACCGGTGAAATAAAAATAAAGTCAAGTGCATTAAATTAATGTTTTAACTTCATTTACAGTTTAATTGACAGAAAATTAATAACAGATAGAAAATCTAAATATTATTAATAAACTCGAGTGTAGTAATTAATTTTTTTTTTTTTTAAGAAACAGAAAAAACCTGCAGAAGATTTGCGACAACCAGCTGTCTGTTAGTAAATAAGACGATTAGATTAACTAAAGTTAAAAGTAGTAAGAATAACTAGAATAATGTTTAGTAGCAGCAATAATTAGCACATACACTTAAAATAATTAGAAATACAAAATAATTAGCAAAACAGTATTTAAAATGCAACTAAAATCAATCCTTGCACATTTTTAAACATTATGTATTAAAAATAATATGGCGGCAAATAAATGATGGTTTACAGTATTTCCGGTGGTTTCCGGAACGGCTCGACAGACTACGCCATGGTTTTACTGTTTTTTACTGCTGTACAGTTCCGGAATAATAACCGACGCTATATCGTGATTTTACCCTAAGTTTAGGGTACTTGTTTCTAACAGATATTATTAGCCTATTAGATTTTTAATTTTAATATTTGAATTTTATTTTAAGTGTAATAATATTGCATAGATCTAGATCTAGATCTAGATCTAGATTCTAGGATCTAGCCAGTTTGAGTTTCGATTTGTTGATTAGATCTAGAAATATAGATATAGAATCTAGAATCTAGACAAACTAGTTTTAGTTTAGGTCAGGACAATTTAGAGTTAAAGTTTAGGTTTTGCTCTGAAAAGCAAAAAGGGACGATATTTCGAATCATCCCTTTGAATCCTGGTCAGAACGTCCCCCCGGCGTAGACTCAACCAACTGGCGGGCTTGTTTTATTGAGTTAAATATAAACTCAAAACAATAGGGCCTAATATAAACAATCTCCTTCCAGTAGGTCAGACCACATACCAAGCACGCACATTGTTGTGTGTCGTGCCTTAAACAATTGTATTAAAACCTTGCGGTAACAAAAAAAAAAGACTAGAGATATTTTCATCAGATGAAACCAAGCTCATTTACTTATAACTAAATAGTTAGAGATTATGGGGAAACCACTTTAATTTATAGATGGCGGCTGTTTATATCGCTAATCTTGCTCGCAAACACTGCTATTTAATGTTAATTTCTGGCCAATCGGCTCTATATATATTATATAATAATATATTGTTATATTTTTATTTAGCCATTAATTTTAGTTTATTATTCAGTTATTTTTAATATTTGACATTATACTTCTATTAAAGCCTTAACAATGAGGCAACTTTTTTTACTACTAGTCTTGGCTGATTTTACGCACCTAAAATAATAGATTATCCTAATAAATTCTAGCTGTAGACTGCAAATCTAAGCTTATTTCTTCAAATTTAACTACTTTAAACCAGAATTTCATGCATGTTAAATGTTATTGTTTATTTATTTTCTTCATTAGGTAGCTGTAGATTCAGATAATTTTACCATCATATTTTACACCCATTACATCCCATCTGTGGTGCGGTTCATCACAACCTTGGCTAAAAAGATACCACAGTTTTTAGACATAAGCCTAGCAGATCAGAGAGCATTAATAAAAGGTTGTATTTTAGAGGTGAGCCTTATGCACAAAAAAATTGTTACATAAATTATTTATTTTAATTAACCGTCTGTTAGGCCTATATTTCATGCATAATTAATATTAATATTATCAAATGAAATATTAATTATACATTGCTTTTGTAAATCAATGTTTTATTTTGTTTTAAAAAACATTACCTGGTATATCCAGGAATATTGGTAAAGTCTTAGTACATACAGCTTAATATTGTCCTCATCTGTTTCTATGGTTGGACAAACTAATTCTTTCCAACTTGAGTGCAGGGCTGGCGCTACCTATAAGGCGAACTAGGTGGTCGCCTAGGGCGCTGTCCGTAGGGGGCATGAAAATGCGAAATTGCAATTATTTAAAATACCTAATAATTTACAACTTTGATTAGATTACATTGACTATATACAAAGGCATAGCTATCTATTTAGGTGCCCAGGATGAACTATCAATTTTGCGCCCCATCTTCAAATTAGACCTAGATCTATATATAAGTATTCGCGTTGGTGAAAATGTGCCCCTTCTTCCCTTATTTGAAAAGGTCGGGGCGCTTTTTTAACCAGTTTTTCTCCCAGACTTTTTCCAATGGGGGGGGGGGGGGGGGGGGATAAAAAAAATTTCTGTATAAATTCCATTGTAGTATGCAAAATAGGCAAATCTTTAAACCACTTCCATGACTTATTCTCTCATTTAAATAGTCAAATCGGGGTGCCTATAGATCTAATTAAAAGAGTTTTTTATTAAGCGAATTAAAACTAAAAATTCTTCTCTTAAGAATTATTAAATTTCAGCATCCTGACAAATGACTAAGCTATGAAAAGGAATTAATTCCAAATTCATTTTATTAGTATAAATAAAAATTTTTAAAAGTGGGAAACCATTACACATACCAAGTTTCCTTGATTCATAGTCTTTGACCAACTTGCCTAATAAGAAGGAAAACTATTCATAATTTTTGTTGGACTTAAATAAGAAATTTTAAAACTTGTAATATATATATATATATGAGGGGGCCCGAAAAAAATTGCGTGGGAGGGGGGGGGGTTTAATAAGTTTTGCCTAGGGTGCTAAATAACCTGGCGCCGGCACTGCTTGAGTGTAACTAATCTCATTCTCAGTACATTGACCAAGATTAAATTTAACAAAATAAAATTATTCTGTTACAATGTTTTGTAGTAATGTTGGAAACATCTTTGTAAATATAAATGTCTTTTTTCACTTACACAGATAGCATTTATTCATGACAGCACACATGTAAGCATGAATGGAGACATTTGGACGGACAGCAAGCTGAACTTTAACATTTCCAGATCTAGGTAAATGAATTTCTCTATATGTTTAGGCTAAAATAATTCTTTATGGCTCAATCTAATTCTCAGTATTACACATAATAAGATATAGCAAAAAAAATTTCTCTTATTAGTATTATACCTTTGTATTTAAATTAATGTATACGTTTTTTTAACTTTAAAATGTAATCTAGATACATCACTATTCACGGCTATGTTCTATTTGTAAAATGAGCATAAAATGGCAAATTATTGACAGAACTGTAAGCACAACCCCATAACTGCTAAATAAGTAATTTGAATTTAGATCCTCAAATATGAATAAAAGATATTTCTCCTAATGTTGTTATTTTATTACCATACATTGTACACATACAAATTAAACTACAATGCCATTATCTCCACATTACCTCCCTGTTCAGGCTGGAGTCAATGGGTCTGATTGGTGAAATCTTCCAAAAATTTTGGCGCATCATGACCAAGACCCTTAAAATGAAGCTAACAGATGTAGAGGTGTCTCTTATATGTGCCTTGTTGATTTTCAGCCCAGGTAATTAGGGAAGTTGTAATAAATAGAGTGAGGGTGATTTCCCCTAAGGTTTCTCCTATATTCTTATATAACAATAAGACATGCTGGCATTTTAGTTCAATCTAGCTATATAATTAATTATTTTGATACTTAATTTAAAAAAAAAAATATAGAATAGAATCAAGTAGAAAACAGAATTGAGCTTCAATAAACATAAACATTTTGTGCATAACTGAGTGAAAAATTATTACTTTAAAAAAAATTGTATTCCTTTTTTTAAAAAGTTAATCAAACATCTAACTAAGTCACATATGTCACAGTGCATTGTCATCATGTTTTGACCTTAATAAAAAGTTTGAAACAAATCAGTCTGGTAGATGTGATATTTTTTGAGAAATTAGAAATGCTTTAAAGCACTACTGCTTGTGAATGATTCAAAATATGAAAAAATCAAGAGGATAAGATCTTTTTCTCATTTATGAAATTTTGCTTACCTAACTAAAAAGGTATTTAAAGTTATCTTTTTTTTTAGAAATGGAAATAGTGTAAAGTAACAGTTACGGATATCAGAAGTAATCCAAGTATAATATCGTATGCTTATATATAAAAATGTTGTCTATAGAACTGAAACAGTATTTAAGTTATAGTGCTCCCAAAGAAATAGAGCAACTTCTGGTAACAGGAAATCTTACAAAAGTTGAAAGGAAACTTTGCAAACAACATGATACTTATATTTGAAAGTTTTGTCTACTTAGCTTTAAGGATACTCAACCTATCATCTTTTGTAAGACAAGAAGTAGAATCAGTATCACTTCAGTTTTCCAGAAATAGCCCAAAAGTTGATATAAAACTACAAATTTGATATAATACTTATAATTGAAACTTAGTCAACCACGGTATATAAAGGATATTTAAATTATCATGTTAACAGACACACACACACACAGATGGATATGATGGTAAAACCAAGTTTTTTGGCTCCAGAACATTATAAAATGTCAAAATTTGTCAAAGACTTGATTTTTTTTAACAATTACAATTCATCCTTATATTCAAAAAAGGATGCAGTGAAAATGTGGAAAACTGCAAAAAATATTACAATTTCATAATCATAACAGCTTAAACAATTCTTTTTTAAAGAAATAACTGTTATTAAAAGTAGATTTACTGTACATTTTCAAGTAGATCAACTAAATGTTTTTTTAGAAGGAGTTTAAATAAAATATACTTAAAAGCACAAAAATTAAATACAAATTTTATATATATATATATATATATATAAACAAATTAACAGTAAAAAAACAAATAAAATAAAGGATTCAAATTTATAAATACCTAAGTGTGGTAACCGAAAAGTCTCAAGTTGAGTTTATGTTCTCAAGCGCAAAAGATTTCTTATTAGACCTCTGAGATATCCCTAAAAATTAAAGTTGGCTGAGCAAAAATAGTTCTGATTATACTAATGCTACTTCATCTGTCCAATTTGAAATGAGACTTTAACTTTTAGTTTTGTTAAATTTTAATTTAAAAAAAGTAAAATAGCAATACATGGGAAAAAAATGAAGTAGCCTAATAATTCATTTGCATTCCTTGTTTGGTTTTGGCTTTCAGACAGGGAGGGGCTGATGAGTGTCAGGTACCTGGAGAACCTGGAGACCGAGCTGGCTATGGCACTCAAATGTCAGCTGATCCTTAACCATGGGGAGCTGCCTTACATCTTCTATCACCTAGTGGACGTGATCATAGAGCTGCGAGGGATCTCAACTCAATTTCTGGAGGCTGTGTTGGACGCTAGGGTGGATAAATCCAGTGCTGATCATGTATCCGTGGATGCTGAGGTGGAACAGAAACCCACAGTTAGAATCATTGAGAAAATTGTGGAAAAATCAAAACAAGGAGAGAAGACAGTGTTAAAAGATATTAGCGATAATGATTTGATAGATGAGCCACATATTCTAAGAGAGTTGTCGTCTAGCAGTAGTGATGGCGGGCTTGGAATGTGTTGCATACGTTCCATCTTGGATGAGGAAAATATGGGTGAAGGGTTCAGGAGGATCAATTCCTGCTTGGATATTGGGGATTTTTCCAGTGACACGGACTGTGAAGAAATACGTTCCCCACCTCATTTAGAATTAAGTACAGACTGTGTAGGTGACAGTGGTAGACAGATAGACAAAAACCATAGCCAAGAGGAGAAAAATCAAATTCCTGAAGATGCCTCATTTGATGATATTCCTACACTACAGTTAGATGGTCAGAAAGCAAAATTCTGTAGCTCAAATAAAATAAAAGCTGAAAATCAAACTTTAAATAATTTAGCTCAAGAAAAAAGCTATTTAAATACTGACAGGGTTTCCAAAAGTCAGGTAGAGGTAGATGATATTGAAAAAAAAAAAACTGTGGACAGTATGGAAAAGTTGGAAGCTAACATTGGTGCAAGAGGTGAGAATTCAGAACAGGAAGAAGTTGAAAAAGTATTAGGTAATGTTAAAAAAAGTGTAGCTCTTCTAAATGAAAGTACACATTTTCGTGAAACTGGTTACGCCATGTCAGAGGCTGATCCCACAGAAATGTCTCTGGATTTGTCGGTTAAAAAAGTAATTTTAGGTAAGGAAGGGTGCGGATCAAATCAAAAAGATGAATATATAGTAATGGAAATACCATTTAAGTGTATGTTAAATAATTTAAAACAACATTCACCACCCCAACACAGGTCTGCAATTGTAGAAATTAGAGATGAGATTCTGAAACACAATGAGACAGCTATTAATGAAGCATCGGACCATGCTGGCAGTATAAAAACTGCTGACAGCAATTTAAGTCCACTTCCTGGTGGGGACTCTTCGGAGAAAGTTTCTAAAAAAACACATCTACGCAAAATGCCTCGAATAACTACTAATAGGTGGAATATACCTAATTGTAATACTAACTATTTGACTGGTTCCATTGAGGAAAACAGTAGCTTTATGTTTTCTACATCGTCACTGCGACATGGAACTTTGAGTTTGAGTGATGCTGAGAAAAACATGAATGGAAAAGAATCTGCGCAGAACTCATATATAGGAATGCAAAACCAGATACACGAGCTCAAAAGAAAACTAAGTGATGCTGTACTGGCATCTGATTGTAATGAAACAAAAGAAATCTCAGAACAGCCTGTAAAACAAAACAGCCATTTTAATTCTTATACAGAAAATGATAACTTCAGAGTCACAGAAAAGTCTAACTACCATTCTCCTGAAGTGATGAACAATTCAACACCACACAGCAACAGTTCTGATGCTCCTGTGGTCATGGAAACCTGTCAGGTAGAGAACTGCTTGGACTGCAGGACAAACAGAGAGCAAGAAGTGCAAATAAAACGTCGCAACACCATGCCAGCAAGACTGGGTTACTCGTACTTTGTAGCGCCGCAGTCAGGCTTGCAGAAATCCAGTCAGCTCCAGAAACCTGGGACTCACAGTTACATAAAACCAGAGCAGAAGCCACCATTACGAGCTGCTGCCTCCAATCCCTCACTTCATCTTGCCTGGTCTGATCCTGGTGCTGGCCAAAATAATTTCCTCACCCATTCCACAGACAGAAACTGGAATTCTGATGCCAACCTCTCCCAGTCTTCAAGACTATGTCCCTCCACCCTACCATCCATTCCACAGCTGTTTTCTCTACCTCCAAGTTCTAACAGCAGTAATTACTACAACTCCTCAGCACTGTATTGCAGCAAACAAAGCTTTACCCCTGAATACCATGAGCTCACCGGTAAAGAAACACCCACTAATATATTCAAGACACCATACTATGCCATGCATGGTGGTTTCCAGAAGGCATTTGAATCTTCATTGTCGACATTACCTAACCCAAAAGATGGGCCGATAGACATGACATCTCCTTCAAAGCCGTATCATCACACAGACACGACACAAGGTCCATTTGCGCAGACTCTCAACTCAAGCCTTTCCTCTGTTAATCCTGCACATTATAGTTCCCATTCTTCACCATATGAAAATATTTACACTGCTGGTTATAATGGAACAAAACTTTCTGGTGTACATGACCACAGTGTCAACAAATCACCCTTATACCCAGGGTTAAATCAATATTCACATCCAACCTCCATTTCTATACCACAATCTACCACTGCACAAACCTATATACAAAACGGACAGGCACAACTTACAGCTTCAACCTCATCTTCAGCAAAAGACAGTTCCTGCTATAACTCTCATACGTTATCTCTAACCCATATGGACAGCAGCTTTCATCAAAACTCTAAGAATTATCAACTCCAGGGCAGACAAAGATCACAGTCTTTCTCCTGCACCCAGCGATTGAGTCGTAGCAGCATCCAGAAACTGTTACTTGAGAACCCTAACCAAAAGGTTGCAGTCCAACCCCATCCATACTTTAACCAGTCTTATCATATATCGCATTGAGCCGCTTACCACTCTTGAAAATGTGTTGATATTACAAACCTGAGCTGCTTCTTTGAAACATCGCCTGACCAAATGTTATACTCCTTTAGATCTTCAACAACATGGGCGGATTAATTAAAAACAATAGCCATTGTAGGCAGATGACACTGATGCTTATTTTTTTTTTTGTATTTTGAACACATATTTCTGACAAAATAGTGTGTTGTCTCGATCAGGTCGTTTAAGCTTATGGCTGCTAACCTAAAGTCCTGAGTTTAAACCTCTGGCAGAAATGGCTCGATAGCTGGGAACAATTTGGGGGGGGGGGGGGGAGGGAGGTGGGGTAACAACCAAAATGAACAACTTGCAGTTTGTTTTTGGTTGGACAAAGGCTATGAAAGCAAGTCCAGAAAAAAAAAGCTGGCTGTAAATAAAATATCTGAGTCAACGGCCTATATGGCGCTTATCATTTTGTTTGAGGAAATCTTGTCCAACATTACAATTAAGAACCAAGAAGAAAAAGAATGTAGGTCACCCCTTTTTTTTTGTTTAATTAATGTATTGAATATATTTATCAAAAACATTATTTCATTAGCAAATAATATAAAAATGTAATAAAAGATGAATAAGTTACAGATTCTCATTGGATTTAGGTTAGAACAAAAATTTGAATACAAACATGAAATGCAATAGCTTTTTTGTGAATATCTTGACTTAAACTTCTTTAAATATTTAAATGTTTGCTTTTTTCTCTTTACTTTATACTATAATATCTATAATTTTGCCAAACTAGAGTACATTTTAAAAAATACACCATGTAAACAAGAATTTGCTTCAGTTCTGTATACACCCTAAAAAAATCTTTTATATTTCTTGTGTTATATTGTGGACTAAATTTATCAATAAAGATTGTTGCTTTAATAGTTATACTTACCAATCTTTGGTTTACATTAGTTGAATAAAATAGTTGGTAAAAACTTGCTATGTCTACGCATTTTTGGTCCAAGTATTAAAGTTGTTGGTAAAGATACTTACATCTACTTTTTAAAAATTAATTTTGCTTGTGCATGAAATATTAACATTAACCCTTCAGAGACAAATGTTTGGCCTGCTAAATAAAATTCTGAAAAATATGTTTTTGTTTCTATAATAATGCAAATGATTGTTCTTAAAATTTGTATGATGTTAAGTATGTTTGCATTTTATTTAAATTTACACAAGTTTCTCTTCATTACTGTAAAAAAATTTTTAGAACTGTTTTCCATACATAACAGATAATGCATTTTTCTTTGCTTTTTGTTTATTTGTTAAATGGATGTTTTGTTTTCATTGATTTGTTGTGAATAAGCTATTTACAAGTCCTTTGTTTCAAATCTGCCTTCACTGCCATATTTTTCAATTTCTGTGAATTGCCTATTAATTGGACATTGTAGCAACCGGTGATTTCTTATTTAATGTTAAAGTAAAAAAAAACGATTATGTTTATATGTTCTAAAAATGCTTTTGCAATGTATATTTATTTTCATCATTAAAATCTTTATTTTACTTAGCCACATTTTAACTGGTATATGGATACAAATCAAACAAACACACAATATCAGTGGGATACATTTTAATTACTTTTTTACATTTAACATATAATTTTCTAAAACTGTTTTCTCTAATCTCCAACATAGAATGTATGTGACATGTATAGTGGTTTATTTTTAAGTGCACTCTTTTATCACACAACAATTTTCCCTAACAACTACTAACATTTGCCTGTTTAATTTTAACTGTGTGTTTTAATATATAAGTCTAATCCAGATAACTGGAAAAACAAGTCACACTGTGAGATATGTTTTTTACTGCTCAACATGCATTTATAAAAAAAATGTAAACATTTAAATAAAATTGCCAATTTAAGTTACATGTATGAATTAGTTTTATTTTTCATTTTAAATTATTTTTATACTATAAATTTACTGTGTTGTGTAGCCTATTGTAAATTTTAAGAATAGCAATGTTTATGATACATTTAAGTTTAAAGAAAAGATTATTATTTAGTCAGAAAGAAAACAAAATTCAATATTTGTTTAATTTTTGTTTCTTTTTTAATTTATTTTCACCATACATGTTATTGGTTAGAAGAAGATTTAATAATATTATTTACATCTATTTCTGATATTCCTTTCTAAAAACAAAAAGTAAAATGTATGTTAATTATAATTATTTTTTATGGTTTATGATTTTAACATTAAATATTTAATTAAAAGTAAAGTATGAAATTGATATTATTTGTAATTAAATTAAAGGTCTAATTTTTTCAATACTATTTTTTTATGCTGAAAATGAAAACAATAGCAATAGAAAGATCTAACCTATATCATTTGTTTTTTATACCTAAAATAAATCAATTGTCTAAGAAATTTTTTGACTAAATTACTATGTTGTACTACTTTTAATAGTTGTGATGCTAATAGTTGATGCTAATTTGTGTAAAAGAATAACATTTTCAATATCATTTATTTGTACATATTAGTCAAATATTTATTTCTGTTCCTGTGCATATTATTTGTAATTACTTGCAACTGAAGGTTTTTTTTTTCTATATTCTAAATTGGGATTGGAATGTATGTTATAAAAATACATTTCCCCTACAATCGATTAAAAAAAACTTTATTATGTGTGTTAGACAGAGGCCATAATGAATGGTCCATGTTTATGATGGGAAAAAAAATAATTTTAAAAATATTATTAACGAGCCGGCCCGCGGCATAACATACGCCGCTATTTAGTTGTTTCTAATTTTCAATAATTCATAATTTGTGAATTCGACAGTACCAACGCTGACACTGAAAATATTTCTTTAAAACACTATAAGTAGCTCGTTAAGGACCATAACCCCCCCTCCTTCCTTCCCTCCCCCCTCCTCCCCCCACCCCTACGTTTAAAATCGTTGGCTCTGCTTGTAAACATTTAGAGTGAACACAGCTCACTAAAACTATGTAGGGGTGGGGAGGTAGGGAGAGCGTTTGCAGCTTGTTTTCTAACGGCTCGAAGAAGAGAATTATATATATAGATAATTGTTGGATCACACATGTCTTTGTATGGGATAGGTTTGAGTATTTAATCTTTAACTGTAGTGCCAGTGTCATTAAAATAGCAATGTAAACAGAAAGTGATATTTCAAAGGAATAGAATTATTGTAAGCAAGTGCCTTTCAGCTCCATTTATAACTAAAAGCAGCTTTTCATTGAAATGCATTGATTGTAGAAAACCTGTAACTTCATTTTCAAAAGTATGCAAAAAAAAAAATTTAAGGAATTTAAAATTTAATGTGTGTTTACAATTATGATGATTGTATTTGAATTAAAAGAAAAAAGAACGACTTACACCTAAGTTTTCTTGCAAACATTGCAAAAACATTTTTTTCAATGCACTTTAATCTTTTTAAAATTGAGGGTCTATTAGGAATTATTCAGTTATCTGCTTTTATGTGATTTACTATTATCTTAAGGTTATTTTCCTAAATTATGTATATTATTTTTTCTTTTGCTTGTTTTTCAAAGAAGGATAAGTAAAAAAAAAAAATTGGTCTACTGGTCATATCAAAATTATTGTAATATTCGCAATGTTATTATGATGTTTAGTTTATGTCTTCTGTGTATAAATGGTATGATTATAAGTCTGTAAAGCACATTTTTCATTATCATAAAATAATGTGTTATTGTTTAAAAGTTTTAAGTATAAGGTATCTTAATGTTGTCTGTCTGATGTGCCTTTGTGACTGATCATTGCTTTTAATTTTGATGTAGAAGCTTAACTGTTGAATGGCCTGTACAAATGCCGTCCGGACTTCGTTTTCCTGCGTCATCAAACTCATTCCATATTTGTAATAATTTAAAACCCCTTTCCTTTAAACAATATACAATTTACTGTTCAATACAATAAAATCTATTTTTCCCCCACTCAATGTGTTAATGGGCTCTATTCGATGTGCTAACTATACATACAAATTTGGTCTGATAATTTATATACTTGGTATTAATATACTCAGAAGTTAAGTAAAGACGAATATATTTTCGTAGAACTGGCTATTTTGCGGGATAAGATATACACGTTTACATTAATTAAAAGAGCTTTGACTTATTAGTTCGCCTGAACAACCCAAAATGTAAACATTTCTCTCTCTTTCTCTATCTCTCTTTTTCTCTCCCTCTCTCTCTCCATGTGTGTGGAGAGGTTGCATGATGCACTACCAACATCACCTCAATTTCTTTGCACCTTAATCCAGTCATATAATATATATATATATATATATATATATATATATATATATATGGCCGATATACACGCATATATATATATATATATATCAGAGGCGTAGCGGGGGGTTCGGACCGCACCGGGTGACACCATTTAGGGGGGGGGGGGTGATACCAAGGCAAAAAATAGCAAAATATATAGAGAAAAACTTGAAGGTGGGTGGGGTGCAAATCGAAAATTTGAAAGTTTGTCCCCGGGAAGGGTCACTACGCCTCTGGGGGGGGGTGACACCCGACCTCACTACGCCACTGATATATATACATATATATATATTTATATATGTATATATATATATAAAGATATATGTATGTATATATATACGTATATATATATATATATATATATATATATATACCTATCATCCCGTTAGGTATATGTTAAGGTTAAAAACGAGTGCCTATAACTAAAATAAATGTCACTTCTGCAAGAGTGAAGCCTGCTTGTTATGGTTTTATGTTGAGTGATTAAATGTAATAAAAGTATTACAGATATCCCAAATGGTTGTTGTATTTATTGTTCCTTACCCTACGTGTGAGGTGAAACGATATGCCAATGTGTAAAATTTCGTTATCTAAACGAAACGATACATGTTTGTATTTTAGACATTCGAAATAGAGAAGTTACTGCCTCCAGATATCGGAATTAACTCAAAATTTGAAAATGAACCAAGTATAAGATATCATACCTATCAATGAAATTTCGACTAACTGAAACAATGATTACGCTAACGTGTTCCAAATGAAATGGAATAAAGTGCCATTTCCGATTACCGGAAGTCTATCAAAAGTGTAAAAGTAACATTTGCAAACTATCTGATGCTAATAGTTGAAATTTTGTCTAAGTTACCTAAAACGTACTTTTTTATAGGGTTTATAGTCACCAGTTTTACCCGCAATAGCGTGGTACGATTCAGCCGTCATGGACTACACATAAGTTTGTACTAAAATCAAAACAGTGTATTTAATAAAGAAGACAGGCGGAACTACAATGCCGCCAGACCACGCG